ATCGCAAGAAGGGGCATTTACCAGAACTGCACTACAGAATTTTTCTGACATAAAACCCCGTTCATCATATCACCACTTTTGTCTTGCAATTGCAAAAAAAAATCACATTTTTATCCTTACTGAAGTAGTAGACAAAAAACGGAAAAGTATCTAAATCAATTATTGGTTTTCCCAAAGTATCGCATCTGTAAAACAGCACCCGATATTGCTAACTGGCACATAAATATACTCAGACATGATAAACTGTCTGATGGAGCTGCGGTGTGTACAGAGTGATTCACTATATTTTGACCCCTCCATTAACTTTATTGTTTTTAGAGTTATAAGAAAATGTGAGATACAAAAGTTGCACGATTTTTTATAAATTTTTCGAAAATGTAGAAAAAGTAGAATAAAGTATAGATCTTCTTCATACTCTATTTTATTTCCTAATAATATTTAAATTTTCTACCCCTCGCTACACGTCAGGTGATGTGGTATATGCACGATGGGTCACCTGTACATACATAGTACACTTGCCGTTAGAGAATAGTTAAATTTAGATTACCCGAATCGCTGGATTGGCCGTGGTCGTGATGTCCCTGTTTGTTGGCCTACACGTTCATCTGACCTAACGCCTATGGATTTATTTTTGTTGGGAGACATAAAAAGTAAAAGTATTGTATTGTAAAAGTATTGTTTATGCCACTCCTGTTGCCTCCTTAGAAGAACTACGCTTAAGAATATTTCAGGCAGCAGATGACCTTCGCAATAACCAAGAACTGTTTGTGCGAAGTGCGTTATAACTTCAACAGACGAATTAGGTTATGCTTGCAGCAAAATGGAAATTATTTCGAGAATATTCTTTAAATTTAATTTTCCATTTCTTGTTTTTCGTTCGTATTAAATTTTATTTCAGACAAATAACTTTACCTAATACATGTCTCATAGTCATAAGTTATCAAACATTTTTCATTAATTAGTAGCAAATTATTCTTAATGTTATTATTAAATTACCAGCTTATTGACAGAAAGTGTCAATTTATTAATATGATAAATAACAATTTATTTGTTATGACATCCGCCTATAAATTTACAAATTTTCGCAATGACCCCTTTAGTGAACGATGACGCATCTAATTTTTTATACTAGAAAACTATTGGTTTTACCGAAAAATTACAAGAGGTAAAAAAGTTGCGCATAAATCAGTCTTCCCAATAAATATTTTTAAATAAATAATTTTCTTCATATAAAAAATTTCTAACAAAATGTTGCAATGGGGTTGACTGTTTCACTCCTTTATAAAATATGCCAATGACCGAACAAATATTGAAAATCCCCTCCTTTAAGAGGGTATATCACCTCAGGGGTGCAACTTTCATATAAGGTATTTTTACTTCATTCCTCTTATTTTTGGCTCTACATTTGGTAGCATTTTTACTTTACTTCATTTAAGTATAAACCTCGATAGATAGTGTCCCTTTAAACATCTCAAAATTTACCCTAAGAAAATCACCATTATTGAGAGTCAATATTTTCTTTTGCTTTAGGAGATTATCTCTACATAAACGCGTATATTCCTGAAAATTCTGTGAAGAATCCGAAAGCACTCGATGGCAATCCACGGTGGTAGCTTTATGGACACATGACTTTGAATACGTTCCTAGATAAAGAAGTCGTACTAGTTTCTTTTAATTATTACGTTGATATTCTTGGTAAGTACTTTGGCTATTTCTTCTAAATTGTGGCCTATGGTTCTAGTGATGATTCAATCACGTTGTTATTCTAGGATTCCTTAGCACGGAATATGACGTCATACCTGGCAACAACAGCACAGCAATTGTTTTATATGCTGTGACAATAGCATGAAAGACCAAGTCTTAGCATTCAAGTGGGTCAAGGATAATATTAATTCGTTGGAAATCCCCACTCTTTCACCCTAGTGGGCGGATCAACCGGAGCAGCCAACGTCCACCACCAATATTTCTCAACTTCTTTCTAAAGGACTGTTTATCAAAGGACTTTTGGCGAAGCGGTAAAGCCCTAGCATCCTGGATGGTAAAGAAGAACGCCTTACAATACGCAAAGAAGCTTGGCGTGTTAATGGGTTGCCTTAACAGTTCCTCAGAAGAATTGAAGAGGTGCCTTAAGCAGAGACTAGCGCACGCTTTGCTAAACACTTCTATGGTTTCAGTGATCTACCACTCTCACCTTTTGCGCCAGTGGTGGAAAGGGGATCAGCAAATGTTTTCTTACAACGTGCCTTGGATTATATGTTACGCTAGTGACGAAGGGCTGTACCCTACGGGATGTAATTAAGATGATCCAATGAAGGTTTCTAGCTAGCGTAAAAGTTTCTAGATAGCGTAAAAGAGATTTGGCCATGCAAAATTGTCCAAAATACGTAATTTTTCAGATTTCTGTATATTCTTGGAAGAGATAAACGAGAAGTGGGTNAGCTATTTTTTCGACTATTTTGAAATTTGAATATTTTCTCTAATCAAAGAAATGTATTGTATTCATACAATTTGTAAAATCATCCTTTGATGCACTTTTTGGTAATGTTTGAATTAACTTGTCAGCAATGGTAATAAAAAAATTATTAAATTCTGTATCTCCAATACCATGATCAACACCACTAGATTTTGTTTTATTTCTTTCGTTAACCAAGCGCCAGACAGCATATGCCATGTTGTCAAACTGCTCGATAAATGTATTGTAATAATATTTGTTATTATAAGCTATTTTATTTTTGTACTTCTTTTTATGAGAAGTGAGTACAGAAAGAATAGAGGCATTTTTTGATGCATCATATAACTTGTGGCTTGATAGAGTGTCCCTCATTCTTTTCAAATCATTTTCATACCACAGCACAGGTGCTTTATTTATATTTATACTGTATTTTCGTAATGGGAAAATAGAATTTACCAAATCAGCGTAAGTGTTTATCAGAAAATCGGCAAAAAATTACTATTGCTCAGTGAAGTCACAAAAAAAATCCAGTAAATATTAAGAATTGATTCCCTTGATTTTAAAATGTCGTTTTCATTGATTACTCTTTTACAAATCTTATTTTGGTTATTAAATTTTGCAAAATATTTTAAGAACATTATTTGTGCTCGATGATCAGCTATTAATGGAATCATGTGATTGATCTAATACTATGCCTTGTTCTCGAAAGCTCTGCTCATTATTCCAAGGGCCCAAATCCCAAGTACGAAATTATGGTTCTACAATAAGTGTCTCATATCGTTCATTCATTTATATTTATCAAAATGTTATCTAAGCAAGTAGAAGACTGTAGGGTAACTCCTGTGTAGTCAGATATTTTAATGTCTAGTCCAAATGAAGTTATTAAATAGATAAAATCATCTAACATTGAAGAACCTCGACGGAAATCAATATTATAATCATCTACCAATATTATGTTAGTGAACCTACTTTGACAACATACAAGCAGCTTCTCTAGACTATCCAAAAATGTTTTTATATTACCATCTGTAGATCTATAAATAGTTACAATTACAGTTTTGTTTTTTTATATTCTATGTAATTAAAAGATTATATAAACCTGACGGTTATACAGTAAACTATAATTCCAAAACAATTCCTGATAACAAAATACAAATATATATTTGCTGGTTTCATATGTTTAAGATAATGCCATCGGATGCAGATAAATATTTTGTATTGATTAACGAAAAACAAATTATCAAAGAAATTCTTGCTTCAGCATTCAATATTAACGATTGGGATTTATTTTGCAGCTGAGTCAAGAATTTCCACTCGTAGAATTGAATTTGAAAACCAAAACGAAACAGATTGCGTACCATTCTCTCCTAAAGATTTATTGTCAAGAGGCTAATATTAAAAAACAGGAGATACTGTTATAGTTGACACACCTATCTTGGCAGAAAGAAATCTGTGCGAATCAAGTTTGTACTATAAGTACATATTTTAAAGAAGCAACATCGCAGTGCAAATTATCATGTGATGTGCAAGAAAATAGTCCGTTCTACAGTAACGACTTTTTTAATATCATACTACGTAAGTATCTGCCATTTGCGCCTCTTTGGGGGTGGTCTTTTATTAAATGATGGTGCGCGATTGAGTAATGCCCCCTTGGAGCCGTGATTCGGTATTTTCAAAAACATACTAACAAAGCGCCATATTTAACAATTTAATTTTACAATGGTGGGTGGAATGCGAAGTATCTCCCGATCTGCTGGAATACAACGGTACTCTATCTGTATCAGAGCCGGAGGTAGGTAGTAGCGAAGGAAGGTTTGGATTACTATTTGATACCAGGAGAAAAGATCAACAAGAACTTAAAAAAATTTACTCAGGTACAGTTTTTCAATTAGAAATACTAAATTCATCTGCTTTAAATTGGGGAAAATTATTTCCTTTTAGAAATTCACCGACAGATTGTTTGCTGTCTCCGCAGAACCGTCAGTCGAGCTAAACTGATGAAATCTTCAGTATATTTTTATTTATTTAACTACACTGAAGGTGAAAAAAAAAAAAAAAATCCTGACTTTTTTCCATATGCTCAAGGGGTAGAAGGTAGAATCAGATTAAGCAATAACTGATAAACATTGCAAACAAAACAAAATCTACTATAAAATTTTTTTCCACAAGTGTGTGTCATGTGAAGATGGCTGTTACTTCTGTGGAGCACAAGTTATCGACACAAGTTTGGATTATAATTAATAATTATTGGAGAATGAAAATCTTTTTGTAAAAAATGAATTGTAGTTTCCTTTGAATTATTCGTTCAGTTTATAGACAACTTCATGTAATTTATAAATTGCTTTATTTATAAAGTAGAAAATCGTTTCATTTTTGTTGTTCATATTAAAATTTTCTTAAACAAAATGTTATAAACGATTTTATTCTCCAAAATGAAATTTTTGACTTATCCTACGATCAAGCCAGTCCTATCCTGACGATAATAATAATTAACAAGATAAGTTATTGCACCGTAATGTCTCTCTACCCTAATCTAAACATAGTCCATTGCGAAATGTTGCTTAAACCAGTTTGTCTATTTTTTGTTCTGTCATTGGGAAACAATAACTGTAAGTACCTAAAAAAAGGAATATATACCCAGCGCTTTTTTTACTACATCATTGCTTTTCTTCGTCCATCGTGCAATGTGTTAAAAATTTCATCTCTTCTTGCAAAATATACTTCATATATCTATTGACTCATGTAAAGAAAATTACCATTTCTTAATTAATACAGGTGGGTGCAGTATAACCGCAAGTCATTATTAAACTTCGTGTCGATTTCAAATTCGTAAAATCCACTAAGCCTCGGATATTTGTATATTTGTGTAGAACACAATCTTTCATTTTGAGTTTTTTTTTTTAATAACATTTTGTGGTATCTCGTACAAAAATGAAACTTTGGTGGTGAATAAGACCAGATTTTTCAAAATTTCTAAGACTTACTGGATTTCAACAGATTTGAAATCATGACAGATTTTGTTTTAGAAATAGTTAGGGCTGAATCATAGAAGGCCATTTTTTAAAATGAATTTGGTTTTACTCCCTGGTCGAGAAATCGTCAAATTTCTGGCGTTCTTAGGTACTGAAATCTTGAAAAGTAAAACATGTAGAACAAAAGTAAGCACAAAAATAAAATCCTTGATGTTCTGTTTATTCATCGTTATTGTTTAAATTTACTCAAATAAAATAATAACTTAAAAAAAGCGTTTGTAAAACATACGTTTGCTGTTATCCTAATCTCACATTTTAAGAATTATATTTACGTACTTAAAGTAAATAAAAGTAAACCATTTTATATGTAGGACTAAGCAAGTAAATGTTATGAGAATATTTACATGTAGAGTTATATATAAAAAAGTTAGTAAATTCGTAGATTTCAGTACCTAAAACCTTGATCGTTCTTTGCATCTATTTATTCGTTTTACTGCGGCATCTTTAAAAATACTCAGATGGCATGACAAAACATTCCTATTATTTGGTAAGCTTATTCAGTTATTAAATATTTGAAATTATTTGTCTTTGTGAAAAACACTATTTAAAGAATACGGCGCTCTTAAGCAGTCAAGAAAAAAAAAACAGTTTAATTTATATATTTAAATTTAACTCGAAGCTAGTTTGTTCAAGCCAAGATGATCTACCAGAGATAGTCACGCCTTTAGGAAGAGTTCGAGGATTTTGGAAGACTTTAGACGACCGGAAATATGCTGCTTTCGAGGGAATCCCATATGCAAAACCACCAGTAGGCCACCTAAGGTTCGAAGTAAGTCAAAATATTTGTATATTTAAGATACCTTTTCAATTTATTTCTGGTATTTCTCACGTAATATTTTTTGGCTAATTTTCCACATGCTACATAAATGTTGTAAATAATGTTTTAATTTGTAAATGAGCCATAGGAATCAGTCAGGGGTAGTTATTTTTGTCTACTTTAAAATATCATAGTGGGACATATACAGAGTGCTCGCAAACTAGGAGAAAGAATTTAAGCTGTATTATAGTAGTATTTAAAATGACAGTCATTACTACATAATAATACATAACCACAAAAAATTTAAAAATAATTTGGTGGTTATGTACCTCCGTAAATATTAAGTTTTCGAAAAAGTGTAACAGGTACTATTATTTTTTTAACATAATCACCCCTTAAATGAAAATTTTGAAATAATTTATACTTTCATTCTCAATACTACATTTATTGGTTTACTTTCTTTCATAAATGGAAAAGATGTATGGATAATTTCATTTCAATTGATCGTCCACTTCATTCATTAATTTTAATTTTGCTAGTTATTTGTGTAATGTAAGATTTTCCAAATTCCTACTCGACGTCTCTCTTATTTCGTTACAATTATCTTTATTTTTACTAACTTGTAGGAAGCCGAACCTATTCCTGCTTGGTCAGGAACTTGGGAGGCAAACACACTTCACACCTGTCTTCAGGCTGGATTCCTGGATCTTGACAAATTATTAGGTTATTACTAAATCTACTTAGCTTGGTACTCCAAAACACTTTAATACGTCCTACAAAAATTGTTATTATTATTGAGTGTTTATATTTTCCATTAGGGGAAGAAGATTGCCTTTACTTAAACGTATATATACCTGAAGACTATGTGAAAAATCCTAAAGCACTTGATGTGATAGTATCAATCCATGGAGGTGCCTTTATGGTGGGCAGTGGACACATGATATGGACCAGTGCACTCCTAGACAAAGACGCTGTGTTTGTATCTATCAATTACCGCCTTGGTATTCTAGGTAAGAATGCTCCGGTTATTTATTCGTGGTTTTCAAATGCCATTGATAATTTAGTCAGCGTTAACATTCCAGGATTCCTTAGCACAGAAGACTACGTCATACCCGGCAACAACGGTATGAAGGACCAAGTCTTAGCAATTAAGTGGGTCAAGGACAATATCGCTTCGTTTGGAGGAAACCCCCACTCTGTGACCATAGTAGGCGGATCAGCTGGCGGAGCCAGCGTCCACCTCCAATATTTCTCCCCCCTCTCTAAAGGTTTGTTCATCAAAGGGATTTCGCACAGCGGCACAGCTCTAGCACCCTGGGCAGTCAGAAAGAACGCTTTGCAACGTGCCAAGAAGCTCGCTGTGTTGGTGGGTTGTCCTGATAGTACCTCAGAAGAACTAAAGAGGTGTCTTAAGCAGAGACCAGCGCATGCTTTACTAAAGCAATTGAAACATTTCTATGGCATCGGTGACCTGCCGTTCTCACCTTTTGCGCCAGTGGTGGAAAGAGGATTAGCAAACGCTTTCCTAGAGGCGGAACCTTACCATCTCTTGAAAGAAGGTAAAGTCCACGACTTGCCTTGGATTACTTCCTTTACTGTTGATGAAGGACTTTTTCCTACGGGATGTAAGTAAGATATTACCTTTAAGGTTTATAAAGTTTTCTCTTTTACATGCATTTACATTACACCATGCAAGATTGCCCGACGTAAATCAAAATGCATAATTTTCCAGATTTATGGCACATTTTGGGAGAGATAAACGAAAAATGGGTAGAACTATCTCCCGAACTGCTGGATTACAATGACACTCTACCTGCATCAAGGCGGGAGGTAGTAGCGAAGGAAGTTTTGGATCACTATTTGGGACCAGGAGAAAATATCAATAAGAAGAACTTCAAAAAATTTACTCAGGTACAGTTTTTCTATTAGAAATGCAAAATTCATCTGCATTAAATTGCAAAAAATTATTGCCTTTTAGATTTTCACTGACAGATTCTTTGCTGTATCTGCAGAACTCTCAACTAAACTGCAAGCCAAGGTGACAAAATCTCCAGTATATTTTTATATATTTAACTACACTGAGGGTGAAAATAAATTTGTCGACAACTTTCCAGGCACTCGAAGGGTGGAAGGTAAGAACATACTCTTAAACAGATGAAGCGTGAACTAAAAAATTGCAAACTAAATGTACCAGCAAATACTTTTCATAGGTGCATGTCATGGTGAAGATGTTTTCTACTTCTATGGAATGTCATTTATAAATCCATTATCAGCACAGGATAAACGTTTGCGTAGTGCTTGTCATAACATGTTGTATTCATATGCCAACAGCGGGTATGTTAATAATTCCAGAATGACTTATTTCCTTCAATAATTCATTTTTTAGTAATCCTTCTTTTGATGGGACGGACACTTGGCAACCTACAGGATCTGAAGAGCTGACTTACTTATTTATAAACGGACCAGAATACATGAAGCTGCAAATGAGTAAAAGTGTGAGTCCTATCGATTTTTGGACCAAGCTTGGACTCTTGGAGTATGAAAACCTTGTTGTAAAAGATGAATTGTAGTTTACTTTTAATTATTTTTATAAGCAATCTCAAGCGATTTATAAAATGTGTTACCTATTTATAAAGTAGAAAAAGGTTTGGTTATTGTAATTTATATTAATATCTTCTTATATAAAATGTTACAAACGATTTTACTCTCCAAATTGATAACCTTTGTCCTATCCTACAAGCAGGCCAGTCCCATCCTGGTAATTGTAATTAACAAGATAACCGATACCGAACGTAATTTCATTGTTGGATCCTAATATAAAATTAACTTATTTCGAAATGTAGTTCAAACCGGTTTGTCTATTTTTTGTTTTGTCATTTGGGAACAATTGTAAGTACCTAATCCTAATTATCTGTTGTGAAGATGAATGTTTAATATTTTAATAACAGTAAGTAATGTGTACTTTGAGAAGAATGTGTGTAACTTAAATTCTTGAAAAAATATTTTCTCTCTTGTTGCAAAATACATATAAATACATATATGCGAATCATTATTAAACTTAAATTATTTTGGGTTATATTTCACATTATTCGTTTTTTAAATGTTATATCTTGCCCATTTTTCATTATCTTCACAGATAATAGGTAGTAAAAATAAATTCACCGAATTGTATATAGTATAACATTTCTTTCTATGGATTACTCCCAAAGAAAAATTAAAATATCTAATTTGAGTAGTTCCATTACGACTCATTAAATTTAACGGATCAATCAAACACGATACAACAAAACATAATCAGCGTGTCTCCGAAAAAATAACGAGACAAAAACTGCGTTGAAAAATAGACTGCTAAATTGAGCTTTGTTTGCTTGTGGAAGAAACTGTGTGTTTCAAACCACTAAAATTCAGAAAAAGTTGATTTTCGGCATCAGTAAACGTGACATTTTTTTTACAAAACATCACAAAATGTTATTAAAGAAAATTTCTCAAAATGAAGAACTGAATGTTTATGTACAATTTCAATGTCTTAGGCTGCTAGATTTCAAATTTCTTTTCATTTAGTAAAATTTCTTTTCTATATGAATGACGACAAATATTGTATGCAAAATCACGTAAATATTTCAAAAGGTCAAAATCAAGGTCAATAATTTTTCAGAGAGAGATCATTGACCTTTGGCTACCGGTATTATGGACCTTTGGCCTTCGGGGTCATTGACCTCTGCCACCGAAGTCATTTACCTCGGCCACATGGGGTCATTGACCTTTGGCTCCCGAGGTCATTGTCCTTTGTTCCCGGGGCAATTTGACGCATTCTTAAGTTCTGTATTGTATTTTTAATGTGATTCTATCTATTTTACTGTATTTCATAACAGATTTAAAGAATTTTTATACAGTCAACCTGATTTGATGTATCTTTTGTGTTCTAAAGCTGTTTTGATGCATTTTGATATTTTCTGAACCGTTTTGGCTTTGCCGATTCGAATTGTTACGAAGTTATTATTTTGTATTACAAGGCTATTTTGAAGTATTTTGTTTTATTTTAATGTAGTTTTCCGCGCTGTTTATGGTCCAAGAACACTGAGATGCACTTACCATTATAGGTTTCAACTGACTGTCTGAGTTTCTTTGGACTGAATTTAAAATTTTAGGATTTTTTAACACTTCGAGTCTGCTACACTTTCTTTACTGTTCTTTTGTGTGGGCTAGACACTAAAAGTTTTTGTTTTGACGGCTTCATAGAGTACCTGCAAGCTTAAAAAGCTTAGCATAATAAGAAATCGAGCAATTTTGATCCGAGTTCACACTCTAGCTGGAATACCGTCTCCTGGTTAAAATTCTGCCGATTCCCAGGGTTGACGATGGATCACAGAAATGACTTTTTCCGCTGGTGACTCTCTCGTAGGTTCTGCTTTAAGAAGACTCCCTGGACCTTGTCCTATCTTTCTAAATTTAAAAGATTTATTGGATTTAAATAAATTATGGCTGATTTTGTGTTGTAAAAAACTAGGGCTGAATCCTGGAGATCCATTTTTCAAAACCAATTTGGTTTTATGCAGTCCACAAAAAGAATAGTTTAATTTATATTTAAATTCAATTTAGTTTGTTCAAATCAGGACGATCTGCCGGAGATAGTCACGCCCTTGGGAAGAGTTCGAGGATTTTGGAAGACCTTAGATGGCCGGAAATATATTGCTTTGGAGGGATTCCCATACGAGAAATCACCAGTAGATCATCTAAAATTTGAAAAGTCAAAATTGCGTATTTTTAAGATATCATCTCCATTTATTTCAATTATTCCCCACATAACCCCCAAAATTAAAAAAATAAGGTTATGTACCTCTGTAATATAGTTTTTTTTATAGAATCACAGACTACATTTTTAAATACAATTGTTAAATGAGATAGTTTATAATTTATTTGATTTTCTAGTTTCAGAAATGGATGAGATATCATTATTATTAGAACTTACTGCACCTGTCACGATTGTCTTCGTTTTACATTAAATTTAAGTATCATTCGGAATTGTTTTTGTTTTCGGAATACAGGATGTTTTATTTCAATTAATCTCCTATTTCATTCATTAATTTTATTTTACCAGTTAACAATAATGTGCGTAATGTGACATTTTCCAAATATCTATCCGACGTCCCTCTTAACTGGTTACAATAATTATTTTTACTTTTACTAATTTGCAGGAAACGTAACCTATTCAAGTCTAGTTAGGAATTTGGGTGTCGAATACCCTTCACATTTGTCTTAATACGCTTGAATACGTCTCACAAATATTCTTACAGAAATATCAATACTATTGAAAGTAAGAGTTTGTATTTTCTATTAGGGGAGGAAGATTGTCTTTACTTAAATACTTAATATTGCAAAAGCGATGAATGTTGATGAAACTCATGGAAAAAACGGTCAATCCAACAATCCAAAAACCAACATGTGCGCCAAAGGCCGATTCGATTGACCGTGAAATTGTTGCTCCAGGTATTTGTTAATTAATTTCGTTCATGTTTTTGCAACTAATTGTTTAACGTTAACTAACGTTCTAAACGTTAACTTTAAAGTTAATATCACAGACATAGGTACTAATTGATCCAAAGATACGTATCGAAAAAGAAAAATTTCAAAAAGGTGAAATTAAGTTGCTTTTTACAACTAACAAAGTAGGACGTGCAAAACGCGTTATAAACAAATTGTCCCAGGATCAGGCAAAAACCGCTTGGAATTCGCTCTTTTTGCATTAAATAGAACTTATTTTTACGGTAATGTTAAAAAAAGAGACATCACCCACGCCTCTTTGTTCCCAAGCACAGTATACCTACTATTAGTATACTGAGATACTGCGTTCCCAAGATAACTTTCTTTATAATGTTAATTCTTGTTAACTATTGGACGCATTGCACCGGGATTTTAAAAACAATTAAAGAAAGGGTTAAACTTCTATTTTAAGAAAGTTTTACATTGATAGTTCATGTAATAAACTGCACGCGGGAGAAGGAGTGTCAGGCAGACAATAAATTAAAATAATTGGTGATATTTTAGAACAAACCAACAATCAAAATATATTACAAACACCGACAAAGAGAAAACTTTATCATGGAGTTCAAAATGAGCTTCACAAAAGTAAACGTTTATTAGATCCACTTCTTATTTGTGGAAGGGCGAAATGGGCGGTGACTATTAGACGCCTTCATTATAGCCATATTTCTCTATCGCACGGATTTCTATGACTTTCTTTATCGTTCTCACGTAACGGCCGATGAACCATGGGGACTTTCCGACCCTGTAGAAATGAAGAGTACGCGTCAAGATCGTGTATTAAACGCCTGTAAGAAGGCAACCGTTCTCTTACATACATGGCGGCGCACCCTTCTGAACGCTCAATCGCTATTTGTTTATAGCTTCAAATAACAGTGGAAAAAACAAATTTTCACACTGCAATTACTCATAATTTGTAGTATTTAATGAACTTTCAAACGCCGTCAGCAGAATTACAAAATACCTATTCAATCAAAAGTTATTAACGATTGAAAATCGCAAAATTCACATTTTTCGAGTTTTTAATGGCGTTTATCTCGAAAACTATGCGTTTAAAAAAAATTGCAAGAGACATTTTCTTCTTAAAATGGGTCAAAGAACAAGAAAATACATTTTATTTTGCCAGAAACTAAGTTCTCAGTATTTCGCAAGTTTTTTTATTAATAAAAAAGCTTATCGACTACCGGGCAACCTTCTACCCAAAAAATTTGTGTTCTGCAGCTCAAAATACACAAAAAACACTTGGGTAACTCCATCTAAATGAAGGAGGCAATTGGGACCCCCCTGGCTACAGGACTAATAGAGAAAGTATTGATTATTGGATCTCAATTCATGAAGGGAATTGTGAATAATGCACTTAAAAAGAAACACCTGTGGACTGTTCAAGATAAAAAGTTTTTTCTTGGCAATTTACAAACATAGACCCCAATGTTACCGGGTTTGAAAGCATTTCATACCTCTTCCATCACCAGCAACCTTAAAAAGAATTTTGCAAAATTTTGAATTTGATTGTGGTATAAATAAAACTTTGTTTCATCTGTGGACAAAAACTGTTTGTTAATGTTTCATGAGATTGTTTTCTATTAAAATTAAGTCTGATTTGGTTAGAGAAAGCATTATATTATTGGTCTCTCAAAAAAATATGAGTGACCACTAAAAAAAAAATGACTTAAAAAAGAATAAAAAAGTACCTACGTTAACAAATACTGGCTTTGCTCATGAACTTGTACTTGCAAACTACAAAACTGCATGAGATAAGAAGTGAAATATGTAGTTTGTATTAGGAAGGTAATTATTTCAATTTTTACTGCATATGTGGCGTATTACACTGCACTACATTTCTGCAAGTTTGCGAGCAAAGATTATATTATCATGACTGATAAAAGACTGATAGTGATTGTTGAGTTTTTTTAATATTTGTAAAAAGATTTATTTTTTATAAGTTTATGTTACGTTTTGATGTTTTTATTTACTTATTATCTTGTATTTTACCACAATTTTTATATTCCTTTGTTTTAAATAAAGTGTAACTCCCGCCAGTTCCTATTATTTTACCAGTTATTATTTAGGCGGAGCTGTAGTTGTGAATTTGCTTCCAGTCTTGGAGTACAGTTTTGACTACTCTTATTATAGTTATTTCTCACGACAGGGGAGAACATAATAGTCACACGATTAGTGTAATTTTTCAATAATATTTTTTAATATTGAAATGATTAATGTTGTCAATTTTAGAGAAAATGAACTGTCATAACCAGATGGTTTACTATATTTGGAATAATGTTACCGCAGTTTATTGTAACGTTTGATAGGTTAATATCAAATAATATTTCTTAAATAACAAAATCTATTGTAAACTGTTTTTTTTTAATTCGAATAAAGCAAAAGCGTTAAAACTGGTTTATCTCAAAGTAGCTAGCATACATGTAACCTAACTGTACTCAAAATAGCAGATTAATTTGGTAATAGTAAGTTATTGGTTTTTCAATGTAATATCTTTAACTGTTTCCCAGTTGAAATACAGGCCGTGTTCTTTTATTCCTCGTTTTAATGCCAAGAATTCCATCGATGTATTAAGATTGGTCTTTTTAAAAAAATCTGTTCTCTTATTGGCTGTACGGAATCTATCACATCCAAATGATGAATAAAAGAACACAGCCACATTCAACGGTACTAGTCAGTGTGTAGGGATATTACAGATNTTATATTATCATGACTGATAAAAGACTGATAGTGATTGTTGAGTTTTTTTAATATTTGTAAAAAGATTTATTTTTTATAAGTTTATGTTACGTTTTGATGTTTTTATTTATTTATTATCTTGTATTTTACCACAATTTTTATATTCCTTTGTTTTAAATAAAGTGTAACTCCCGCCAGTTCCTATTATTTTATCAGTTATTATTCAGGTGGAGCTGTAGTTGTGAATTTGCTTCCAGTCTTGGAGTACAGTTTTGACTACTCTTATTATAGTTATTTCTCTATGCACATGATGCACACGTACTCTCCATAACGGCAAAGACACGACAGAGGAGAACATAATAGTCACACGATTAGTGTAATTTTTCAATAATATTTTTTAATATTGAAATGATTAATGTTGTCAATTTTAGAGAAAATGAACTTTCATAACCAAATGGTTTACTATATTTGGAATAATTTTACCGCAGTTTATTGTAACGTTTGATAGGTTAATATCAAATAATATTTCTTAAATAACAAAATCTATTGTAAACTGTTTTTTTTAATTCGAATAAAGCAAAAGCGTTAAAACTGGTTTATCTCAAAGTAGCTAGCATACATGTAACCTAACTGTACTCAGAATAGCAGATTAATTTGGTAATAGTAAGTTATTGGTTTTTCAGTGTAATATCTTTAACTGTTTCCCAGTTGAAATACAGGCCGTGTTCTTTTATTCCTCGTTTTAATGCCAAGAATTCCATCGATGTATTAAGATTGGTCTTTTTAAAAAAATCTGTTCTCTTATTGGCTGTACGGAATCNTTTTCAATAATATTTTTTAATATTGAAATGATTAATGTTGTCAATTTTAGAGAAAATGAACTTTCATAACCAAATGGTTTACTATATTTGGAATAATTTTACCGCAGTTTATTGTAACGTTTGATAGGTTAATATCAAATAATATTTCTTAAATAACAAAATCTATTGTAAACTGTTTTTTTTAATTCGAATAAAGCAAAAGCGTTAAAACTGGTTTATCTCAAAGTAGCTAGCATAAATGTAACCTAACTGTACTCAGAATAGCAGATTAATTTGGTAATAGTAAGTTATTGGTTTTTCAGTGTAATATCTTTAACTGTTTCCCAGTTGAAATACAGGCCGTGTTCTTTTATTCCTCGTTTTAATGCCAAGAATTCCATCGATGTATTAAGATTGGTCTGTTTAAAAAAATCTGTTCTCTTATTGGCTGTACGGAATCCATCACATCCAAACGATGAATAAAAAGAACACAGCCACACAGTGATGCCAGGTCTCATGCTTTTGCATGATATCTCATGTTTTGCAAATCAATCTCATGTTATCATGTTTTATTTGCAAAATCTCATGCTTTTTAGACTTCAATATATAGCGCAATAATATGCGATTCCCTCTGTGATCCGAGTATGCGAATAAGTAGTTAATTTTGTTATTTTATTAAACTTGCATTTAAAATACTATTGTATTGTTATTTTTGTACAACTCATATTATAAAATGTAATGCAGCCCCTCTATATTGAATTTAAGAAAACTTAATATATTTTGAAAAATATATAATACATATTTAGATTTTTTATGTTGTATTATGCAACCAAATTATACACCTTGCGAGGCATTTGCGCCATCTCATGCTTTTTTTATAAATCTCATGTTTTTTTGCAGGATTTTCTCATGCTTTGCTATTTTAAGACCTGGCAACACTGCAGCCACATTCAACGGTACTAGTCAGTGTGTAGGGATATTACAGATTTAATTACTTTGATATTTCTGTATTTACAGTGCGAGAGGGTAGTACTGCCAATGAAGTATAGAATGCTCTGTACTATTGACTTTCTAATCTTTGAATTGAGAGAGTACCGCCAACAATGTTTCCATAAGTTAGATAAAGAAACCATAACCTCTCTTTCTAATGTCCCGAACATGGCGTCGGTTGACAAATCAGAATTGGATGCAGTGAATATATGGTTGCATAGTTTGTGACAGTAGTCAGACCCGAGATCTAACCGGTTATAACTATATGCAACCAAACATACACATGGATCGAACATGGAGGACGATGGCGGTACTCTCTCGATTCAGTGACTCTATACTGTTCATATCATTACTCTGGTGAACAAAATAATACTATATTTTCGAATGAGCAAAATTATAATAAGTATTAATAAATAGTACTCAAAATAACAACCAAGAATGCTGGATAGTGTGCACTTTTTTAAACATCTAAAAAATTCCTACCTTTTTATTGGTATTTGAAGATTAACCTTTTTAATAAAGAACACTAATTAATTATTACGTATTTTTATTAATAAAAATGAATTATAGAAGTACATAGAAATATAATCGGAATACGAGTTATGTATATCAGTCTTCAGTAGATGCTGCAATGACACATGAAAACAAAAAAATAATACAATGGAATCTAGACTATAAACTTTATTTCTTTCCCTCATCCAGTTTTAATCTCTTCACCAGTTGTATTGGGATATGTTTGCTCTCTTCGACCTTGGGAGCAGTGATGGACAAAACTCCATCCGTCGTTAGTTTTGACTCGACCCGACTGACATCCCAGTTTTTCGGAAGAACGTACTTTCTAACAAAATGCCGGGAAATGTAACCATGCTCATCCTGCTGTACCTCATGCTTTCCCTCTATGGTTACCGTATTATTTCCAGTTACTTTCACAGAAAGTTCCTCCGGTTTGAACTGTTGGACATCGATGTTGGTATGGAATTTTTCTCCTCTGAGGATCGATTCTAATCCTGAATCCTTAATTTTACAGTTTAGATATTCCAGAGGGCTGGTAAGCAAGTTCCTTGGCACAACTGCTTGAGTGTAATCTTCGGGATTCCTCCAGAGTCCTAAACCACTGTTCCAGTATCTGGAAGGCCGGTGGAAGTCTTCAACCCATGGAATTAGAGACATTTTTCTATCGTTTGTTTTATGTATAATAACGCTTGACAACCTCCAGTCTCGTACGCGTTCAAATTCAAACTGCCGTTTAGCACAACTCAAAGAGGTACATATACTAACTAAGCATGCGACTAGATGGCTCTGGATTTGTTCGCATGCGTTCATCAGATATTAACTGTTCTAGCAGTTACTTGTAAGACAATAATTGTAAATGTAAGGTAGCAAAGTATAAAAATAAAAAAATAGTTATTTAAATTATCAAACAAAAACTAATATTTATTTTGCCAAAAACTAAGTTCTCAGTATTTTGCAAGTTTTTTTGTTAATAAAAAACTTAACGACATCCGGGCAAACTTCTACCCAAAAAATTTGTGTTCTGCAGCTCAAAATACACAAAAAACCCTTGGGTAACTCCATCTAAATGAAGGAGGCAATTGGGACCCCTCTGGCTACAGGACTAATAGAGAAAGTATTAATAATTGCATCTCAATTCATGAAGGGAATTGTGAATAATGCACTTAAAAAGAAACATGTGGACTGTTCAAGATAAAAAGTTTTTCTTGGCAATTTACAAACATAGACCCCAATGTTACCGGGTTTTAAAGCATTTCATACCTCTTCCATCACCTTAAAGAGAACTGCAAAATTTTGAATTTGATTGTGGTATAAATAAAACTTTGATTCATCTGTGGACAAAAACTGTTTGTTAATGTTTCATGAGATTGTTTTCTATTAAAATTAAGTCTGATTTGGTTAGAGAAAGCATTATATTAATGGTCTAAAAAAAAATATGAGTGACCACTAAAAAAAAATGACTTAAAAAAGAATAAAAAAGTACCTACGTTAACAAATACTGGCTTTGCTCATGAACTTGTATTTGCAAACTGCAAAACTACATGAGATAAGAAGTGAAATATGTAGTTTGTATTAGGAAGGTAACTATTTCAATTTTTACTGCATATGTGGCATGTGGTGCATATTACACTTCATTACATTTCTGCAAGTTTGCGAGCAAAGATTATATATCATCATGACTGATAAAAGGATAGTGATTGTTGTTTTTTTAATATTTGTAAAAAGATATCTATTTTTTACAAGTTTATGTTACGTTTTGATGTTTTTATTTATTTATTAGCTTGTATTTTACCACAATTTTTATATTTCTTTGTTTTAAATAAGGTGTTACTCCCTCCAGTTCCTATTATTTTATCAGTTATTATTCAGGTGGCGCTGTAGTTGTGAATTTTCTTCCAGTCTTGGAATACAGTTTTGACTACTCTTATATTATAGTTAGTTATTTCTCTATGCACATGATGCACACATACTCTCCATGACGGCAAAAACACGACTGACAGGGGAGAACACAATAATCACGCGATTGGTGTATTTTTTCAATAATGTTTTTTAATATTGAAACGATTAATGTTGTAAATTTTAGAGAAATGTAACCAAATGGTATTCCAAATACATGGAATAATTTTACCGCAGTTTATTGTAACATTTGATAGGTTAATATCAAATAGTATTTCTTAAATAACAAATCTATTCTAAACTATTTTTTTTTTAATTCGAATAAATCAAAAGCATTAAATTCAACTGGTTTATCTCAACGTAGGTTTATCTCAACTGGTTTATCTCAAATGTAAACTAACTGCACTCAAAATAGCAGATTAATTTAGTAATAATAAGTTATTGTTTTTTCAGTGTAGAAAATTTCAATTTAATATAATTATGTTCGTATATTCCCCCCTCTTCAAGGAGATACTTATTGCGGGTCACCCTCTGCACCTTCGTTTGTAGTTTCCTATTAACTAAAAACGGAATCTTCTATTACAGATTTCTAATTCTGCATTTGTTGTTGAGTTGGATGATTATCCAAGAATGCTGTATTACATTATAAGATTCTAGAATATTTCCAAAAATAATATCGTTAACTGTTTCCCAATTAAAATACATTAATCAACGATACAATCAGTGTGTAGGATATTACAGATTTACTCTGATATTTCTGTATTTACAGTGCGAGAGGGTAGTACTGCCAATGAAGTATAGAATGCTCTGTACTATTTATTTTCTAGAGTCACTGAATAGAGAGAGTACCGCCAACAATGTTCCCATAAGTTAGATAAAGAAACCATAACCTCTCTTTCTAATGTCCCGAACATGGCGTTGGTTGACAAATCGGAATTGGATGCAGTGAATATATGGTTGCATAGCTTGCGGCAGTAATCGGACCTGAGATCTAACCGGTTATAACTATGTATATGCAACTAAACATACATTTGGATCGAACATGGGGGGCGATGGCGGTACTCTCTCAATTCAATGACTCTGTACTGTTCATATCATTACTCTGGTGAACAAAACAATACCATAAGTTATTTCGAATGAGCATGTAATAATAATTACTGACTGTAGTGTTTTATTAGTAAATTTGCTATAACAGTGTAAATATTGTTTTGCATCCGCAATGGATGGTTCGTTATGCTTTAAAAAATTATACTAAGTATTAACAAATAGTACCCAAAATAACAATCAAGAATGCTGGATAGTGTACACTTTTTTAAACATCTAAAAAATTCTTACCTTTTTATTCACTTTTGAAATGGAACAAGTTGAAATAAATGGTATAAATAGTTTCATTTTTATTGGTATTTGAAGATTAACTTTTTAATAAAGAACACTAAATAATTATTACGCATTTTTATTAATAAAAATTAATTATACAAGTAGGTACATAGAAATATAATCGGAATACGAGTTATGTATATCAGTCTTCAGTAGATGCTGCAATGACATGAAAAAAAAAAATAATGCAATATAATATAATATCATGGAATCTAAACTATAAACTTTATTTCTTTCCCTCATCCAGTTTTAAGCTCTTCACCAGTTGTATTGGAATATGTTTGCTCCCTTCGACCTTGGGAGCAGTGATGGACAAAACTCCATCCGCCGTTAGTTTCGACTCGACCCGACTGACATCCCAGTTTTTCGGAAGAACGTACTTTCTAACAAAATGCCGGGAAATGTAACCATGCTCATCCTGCTGTTCCTCATGCTTTCCCTCTATGGTTACCGTATTATTTCCAGTTACTTCCACAGAAAGTTCCTCCGGTTTGAACTGTTGGACATCGATGTTGGTATGGAATTTTTCCCCTCTGAGGATCGATTCTAATCCTGAATCCTTAATTTTACAGTTTAGATATTCCAGAGGGCTGGTAAGCAAGTTCCTTGGCACAACTGCTTGAGTGTAATCTTCGGGACTCCTCCAGAGTCCTAAACCACTGTTCCAGTATCTGGAAGGCCGGTGGAAGTCTTCAACCCATGGAATTAGAGACATTTTTCTATCGTTTGTCTTATGTATAATAACGCTTGACAACCTCCAGTCTCGTACGCGTTCAAATTCAAACTGCCGTTTAGCACAACTCAAAGAGGTACATATACTAACTAAGCATGCGACTAGATGGCTCTGGATTTGTTCGCATGCATTCATCAGATATTAACTGTTCTAGCAGTTACTTGCAAGACAATAATTGTAAATGTAAGGTAGCAAAGTATAAAAATAAAAAATAGTTATTTAAATTATCAAATAAAAACTAATATACTTTTTTTGTAAAAAAGAATAATAACAAGGCGCTCTCGATAATAAAGGGGATGATTTTTAAATTTATTTTAAAGTTGAACTTACACGTGAACGTATGTTCTAAACGGTTTTGTTTTAGATACAGATTGGTCAACACTTTAAAAAATATGCTGTTTACATCTCTAAATATCCTGAAAGATGTTTGATGGACATTCATGAATTAAGGGCCGGCAAGTTAATATATATTAATCAATATTAATTATATCAAGTGGTAGAGATACTAGGAAATACACTCATTGAGAACTCCAATACTCAATTTTAATTTTTTTTAATTCCAAATCTTGTCACACAGTTTAAAATAATTTTGAAACTGTTTCACAAAAAAGTATATTTTTTTTGCATATAGTATTTTGTAAGTAATCAATTATTTTTGATAGTAATAATTTACTATCAAAAAAGTAAATGGGGATTTGAATTTTTTAAGACATAGCAAGAGACAAATTTCTACGCTACTAAATTTTAATGAATAGATTTCATAAAAAACCTGTACTATTTTTTTTTGGTCAATTAGGCTAAAAAATAGGTATAACTTTTAACAATAAAGAGGAAGTTATTTTTTCTTTAAAACACAAATTAGATTGAAAAATAAAAACCCATTTAAGTATTTAGTGTATATTTAATACTTTTTAGATACTTTAACATCCTGATTCATGATGAACTGTACATACATGTGTACTGTAATGGAAGAGTGAGGCAACCTGGGCTAGCATGTAAAGATTACTTAAAGAAGTCTTGTTTCAGGATTTCTAGATATGCAAAGTGATTTTTGATTTTCATTAAAACCTACTTTGGTTATAACTTTTGAATCATTTATGAGAATTCATTTATTTTTAGTATACAACATATACCACCTTTCATTGAGGGCCAACAGATTTTTGAAGATAGAATTTTAAAATTGCAGGACCATAATGGAAAAATCTTTTGGTAGCTAACTCGAAAAATTCAGTCTGTATACTTTTGTTATTTTTTCGTATAGAATATTCGAAACTAAATGAAGATGAAACATCTTGTACTTCTCAAAATCTAAGGCGTATAGTGAAAATGAACTAAAAAATCAGCAATCATTGTTGGAATGTATTTAGGAATCAATTTGCACAACAAAAGGAAGAAACTAAAATAAATTATACAAGAAATTGAATAATAAATGTATTAACAAGTATAACATTTTGTTTAATTTAAAAAATGCATTATATTATTGAGTTATTTATGTATTTCGAAACGGAACGTTGAGCATTATCCCATGAACGAATATGAGTGCCTGCCTTTTATTCCAGAACAGGGGAGAAGAAAATCGATATCCATAGAAACGAGGTTTTAAAATTTCCGCAGTTTGTTGGAACAAATAATAACGGTTCTGTCTAAAAACTTATCTTTAACAGGCGTTTAAATGTAATACAAAAACTTAACAAGTAGATAAAAATGGAATATGTATACATACATATCGACAAAATACAAGCGTGTTTATCGTTTTAAGGTGTATTATTTTAAAAATACTATATCATCAATAGAATAAATTTTATTATCTACATAGGGTATTAGTGTAGCAAATTGCAATAATAGTTCTGCTAGTTTTGTACTTTAATATTAAAATTCATGTTATTTTCAATTATTGGAGGACAATAATTATTTATTAAATTAAAGTATTATTACAAAGCCATTTCATGTTGAAAAGAGAAATGAAGAAAATATATATTTTTTAAATTACTTTGACACAAAACTTTAATCGTAAACATTGTAAAACATAGGTACATTTAATGTAATTTGACTATTTTTTAATACTTGTGCTTTAACTATAATAAGAAAAGCTGCTTAATTTATTGCCTGAAATTATATGTCACAGAATGTTTATGGGTTCCTATGAAGATAAATTTAAAAATTAATTAATTGCGATACGGATAGGGGTTTGATTATAGAAGAAATTTTAAAATTTAAATAAGATCTATTATATCTAACAGGAGGCACCCTAGTCTTATACTTGCAATAAATATTGTATTAGTGTAAATTTTATGTACACGAGGCAGCAACTGAAGGTTATATTGAGTAAATAATTTTGTACCTACTTATTGAGTTATTGAAAATAATTTCTGCATGACTTACAATTTTGAACCAAGAAAGGTCATTTTAGATAAATTGTATTTATATTATTTATAGAGGGTAAATTGTAAATAATTCAAACAACAAAAATAACAAAATGCTTTCATTGACAGTTTTAGACAGTTTAGGTGTTTAATAAAAGTATCTTAGTTTCTTGAGATTTAAATAATATAAATTGTAGGTATTTAAACGACACAGAAAAAGTTAAGAGAAAAGTTCATTGAAAATAAAATTTAGATTTCATAAATAAAACAGTTCTGTTCAGTGGTGTATCATAATATTTGACATATGTAAATGAATAATCAGCATATGTATAATGCTTTGAATTGACACTAATTTTTTTTTGTGCAAGAATTTACCTATTTAAATAATTTTTTATATTTATTTTCACGTGGAAAAATACCTCTTCTAATGAACAGAGTAACAGCTTATCTTAATTATTTTAAAATAAATTGTAATTTTATTGAGATGAATGTGTATTCATTATATTCTCACTTTTGTCGTTTCCAGTATCATCAATTTGTCAAAAATTATTTACAATACTATAAATACAAGTAGTTAAAAATAATAAAAGCTTCTTCAGAACAGTTTCCTAAAGTTTTAACCCTTGACTAGTGTATAATAGCCAAGGGTTTTAACGTTTCAACCGATCAATACTGCAACGAAATTCCCTATATGCCAGAAGGCATAGAGACCTACAGGTCAAACGTACGGTTTGTACTGGTAAGACATTAACCTTCTCAATACTGTTCTAGATGACTCTGGCATGTTATATTGTATTCTAGTTCGTTCAACGCGAGTCAACAAAAATAACTGTTCATCAGATAATTAATTATGTTTCAAAATCTGTGCAAAATATAAATAATAAAATCAGTAAACATAATTTGTTATAACTCCAAAGTTGGCATAAAATTTATTAAAAAAATAGCTAGTAATAAAAATTAAACCTATCTAGATCGAGTTATCTTAGTCCAAATGTATTTCCTCAAAAAGTATGGACCATCAAAAAATTTTGTTTATTTTATTCTTTTAAGAAAAGAGAGGTCGCAAAGAATATGTCTGTTATTTTTTTGTATTGAAAAAGCTAAAAAGTATACTTGTTATGAAGTTATATTTAACAAAGTATAAGGATGTAAATTTCTTATTGGGATAATTGAAGTATGACCGTCTCATTGGAGAACACCCTGTGTATACTACACTATAACTTCTGTTTCTCTAATATACATAAGTACTTTTTTTGTTGGTAATTAAGCAGCATTTTTGATAAGCAAAAAAATATCGTGTCAAATAAAGAGATAGATACTTTAAACTAGAGAAAATGCTCTAATGAGTTATTTTTCAATATGCAGGATGTCGTATTTTTAATATATCAGACTTCGGGAGCAGATAGAACAACAATAGATAATGGTACTTGGTCCCATAAGCTTATTTTGATATCTCAATCATTTTCAAGCATTGAGGTGATAAATGTCTCAAAAAATTGTATTTGCTGTAAATATCATCTGAAATAATAGATATATTTTAATAATCGAAATAATAGAATATAATAATAGAAATATTTTAACCTTAATACCATTAACCAATCAGTGGCGGAGAAATAACAGTTATAAAGAACATCAGAATATCGACGTCACTGAATATTTCAGAAAGTTAATTTAATGTCCAATTGTATTTGAAAAAAAAAATATCTCCCTTATTTTACACAGTGTTTACACACGTCAAAACCAGGAAATTATTCCACTAAATACATCATATTAATAGAACAGAATATAATAGCATATAGACAAAAGTGAAATATCAAAATAGCAATATCATATAGGGAATAATACAAGTAAATGATTTAAAATGAGATAAAAATTATATAAATTAAAGTACAAGTAATATAAAAGTTATACAATTAAAAAAGAACAAAAAATTAAATATGGCTAAACTCATTTGTTAAAAACTGTTCAATGTTATAAAAGGCATTTTGTAAAAGATATTTTTTTTGCTTTTAAATTGTTTATAATTCAGATTTCTCACATGCAATAGGATAACATTAAAAAGATGTACACCAATGTAACCCTTTCCAGTTCTAGTTTTACTCAATCTCAAAACATTTACTGAAAGGTTATGCTTACAATTAGATCTAACATTATGAGTATGAACTTCACTTCTAGTCTGAAAAATATTTAAGTTATGTTTTACTAGCTTTTACCCGCGGCTTCGCTCGCATTGAAGCCATTAATTGATTTCGTGCAACTTTGGCGGCACGGGCCCGCGATGAATTTTTGGATAGACCAGATTTCCGCTTCCGAGGCATTTTTAAAGAAGAACAGAGTAAGAATTAAACTCACGAATTAACTACAAAAATGACACCTAACCTGAAACAATGAATATAGATTTTTTAATAAATAGTATCCTATGTTACTTCTAATACCTCCAAGAATATGCGTACAAAATTAGTTTCATGATGATCGGTTAAGTAGGGATGTATAGCAAACATTGCAGTATGTACATTAATGTAACTGTTAGGATATTTAATTTAAATTAAATTGATTTTTGCAGTCATCTCTATAACGAAGACCTGAGATAATCCTACACTGAAAGAAATCCACCAAGTGAGGGGCTTTGCTAAGGTATTTTAGCTACAGTAGGTAAAATTTTTGCTCTCACAAAAAAAAATTCATGCTGCCACAAGTAAATACGTTTTGCTGAAACGTGTTTGCTACCACAACAAAGAAANTTGAAAATGTTATTAAAATATATTGCAATCAGTATCAAACAAACACCTAAATGATGTTGTTACATATTTATTTTATAACAATTCCTTATTCTATATGAAAACGCTAAAATAATAATCGCATTTTTTTTACAATAATAAACATATCACATATTTTTTAAATACGTACCGTTTAGATAAATTACGAATGATCAAAATTCTTATCTTTAATTACTGATATCGTTTGTTTACTAGAAGCTAACATTGTTACAGCATAATCCTTAGTATCCGATGAACGGTTATTCAACGTCAAAATAGAAGGCATGTCCAGAGGACTACTAGAACCATCTAGAGTTTTCCTCGGAACTATAAAAGCGTCGCCATGAACCGGCTTCGTTAGTTGAATTAAAACACGAGCAGTGAGAACCAAGTTACAAGCGAAGCGATAATTCAAGTTTTCAAGTATTATTATTTGTTAACAAGTTAGTGCCAGTATGTCCCTGTTGCCATTTTTCGACGATTCTTATCTTCTCCGCCCCTCGAGGCTTTTGAATCAACACTTTGGACTGCCATTGGAACCAGAAGATATACTCGGTACTGTGTTTAACCCTAGACTTTCCGTTAGGTGTCCAGCTGGTTACGTTAGAAACTGGTTAGATGAAGCTCGTGATGTAGGATCCACAGTAAGTTTCGATAAGGATAAATTTCAAGCTAACGTAGATGTCCAGCAGTTCAAACCTGAGGAAATATCTGTGAAAGTTACTGGAGATAACACGGTTACTATCGAGGGCAAACATGAAGAGAAGCAAGACGAACATGGATCTATTTCGAGGCACTTTGTGAGGAGGTACGTTCTTCCACAAAATTGCGATATTAATCAGGTGCAATCCAAATTGTCATCTGATGGAGTTCTTACAATTACTGCGCCCAAAGTGAATGAAGATAAATCTATCCAACAAAAAGAGATCCCAATTATTCGTACTGGGGAACCATTGAAGAAGGTGGAACAGAAAAAGGAAGAACAGAAAAATGAACCTTAATTTTTTTATAACATTTATTAGGGATGTGATAGTTTAAGACTGAATACTATTATGCTTTTTTTTAATTTAATTGTTAAATTCTGTTTGTAAAGCGGGTTATTAATAAAAAAATATCTAATAACTAATGTTTTATTTTTAAATGTGGTATTTTCTGTTCCTTCCTTTGCGATTACTACTTATTAGTGAAAAAGAGTAAGAGTATGGATGAAAAGAGGGTTTTTTTAGATATAGGTATATTTTCTTACTAATATTGCTTTTAAATAGTGTAGAATCGCCAATCTTACCCATATAAGATGAGCTTTAGCATGATTAATATTTAAGTTCTATAAAAATATAAATTTTTTATATTATACAAAAACATCATTCTTATTAATTTGTATAACACATTTGTGTTACCAGACATTTACCTGCTAAATTGTAAAAATATTTCTGCGAATGTACAATTAATTTTGTCTAACATTTTAAAAAATAAAATTGAAGAATATGTACGATTTTTTTTAAATGAAAATATGTGTACTAATCGATAATTTAAAAGATGTAGTTTTTTCAGTATAGTTTAGATGACAGTAGCTGTACCATAAAACATTTTTTTTAATTTCAACATGTTATTCATTCATTTACCTGAAGCCTAGATAGATTACCTTGAATTTTGCCCTTTATCTTTATTCTTACATCGAAAAGAAAATGTATAGACCAAAATTTTAGGAAATTAATTTGTGTTTTTTTAAATGAGGTAAGTATATTTTACATTTTTTTGAAATTTTCTATCTTTTTCTGATTATTACAAGATATGTATATCATATATTTATTTAAATAGGCAATATTTTGGTTTATTTATTATGATTTTCCGCAATTAAATTTACTAAACGGAGCTTTAAATTAAATTCTCCATTAATAAAAATGATCTATTACGTTATGTACATCCCCCTGTGTATTTTTTATTTTAGAATTTGATTTTTAAAGATCCCAGGTACAGCTGTGGACAATACAAAGTTTCCAACCAGGTATGACCGTTATAAGAAATTTATTAATTTTGTACTTCGTAACGTCTTGTAAGTCTATTTTAGAAAAATTCGATTAATCGGAAGATTTTTTCATTTATTATCCGTAAAACATAAAAATGTACCATTTTGACAGAAATCTTTTATAATAAGTAATACAAAGTACCTAATACTGAATGGTGATAAAGGCAAAGGGGTAAATTAGTTCTTTTTAAATGAGTATATACGTGAATTTTTCTTTCCTACTAGTTTCGGATATTATGTCATCGTCAGTAAAAAATCAATTTTATTTCTCAATGATTCTGATGATGGCTGAAACTACTAAGAAAAAAAGAATAAACGTTTATACTAAAAAGGACTAATTTTACCCATTTAACACAGAAAATGTTAAATATTATAAGAAAACATGTTTCTTAATGATTTTATAATATATTTTTATGCCGTCGAGACTAATTGTATTTTAAAAATATTATTATACAACTGTACCAAATTTGATTATTACTACAGTGGTCTCAAATATTGATGGTGATAAAAAATAAATTTACATGGACAAAGTAGTGCAGACTTTAATGCGATTAGTATTTCGGTGAAAAACAATTTAATTGCTAAGAGAAAGTCGTTACTGTACAAAATCATAATTGCAGTTTGATTGAAAAAAATCCTTCTGGTGCCAATTTTTAGACATTTCATTGACGTAATAAGGTTTTTGTTAATGGTATTCGAGAAAAACAGCAGCACAATTTATTTTGACTAATTTGACGTATTTCTCATCCTTTTAACAAAACAAGAAAGTATTTGATATTTATTAGAAAGATATGAAAATACAACTGTGGTAAAAATTTGTTAATTATAATAATGCATTAAGAAATTAATTTTTAAATATTTAATGTCCAGTATTTACCATTATTTCCAAAACCAATATTCTTCTTAATTATTAATTAGAAAGAAAAGAATACAATTGTGGTAAAAGTTTAAATAAACTGGACAATCGTAGTATATAAGATAAAGATATGAACCTAATTAAATATATCAAGTGTAATATTTATTAGATCTCCAAATTGCAAATTTGATTAATGTTATTTAAGGTCACAGTTAATAATAGGAAAAATGCGATTTGTCGTATTCCACCCTTCGAGCGAGCTTCAGGATTTCGGAACACCCCGTATATTCGTAGAAGTCATAATCTTGTACCTACGGATATGCCGGAGACCGCTGAATTGAAAAGGAGGCGAAACAATCATATTCACCTACCTTTCCAATTCAAACCAAAAACCCGCCACGGTTGTGAAATCAATCGCCGTCGGCCGGGCAGAATGAAAAAGCCTCNGCCGCGGAACCCGGTCAAGGGAACTAACATCCCAGATCACAGGTTGCGACATGGTTTCCAACGTGGAGCTCGATTAGAACTCCCGATGCCTCCACTGAGGACCCATGCCGACCAAACACAACATTCAGATAATATTTCACGACATGGCGCTCGACGTGGGGCTCGAAGTCCTGCTTCGACGTCTTCGCGGCGAGCCCATGTTACAAATTCCCTGCACAATTCTCAAGTATTAGGCACAAACGGTCATATATCGCGACATGGCGCCCAGCGTGGAGCTCGATTAGAACTCCCGAGGTCTCCACCAAGGGCCCATGCAGTCGTGGCCGATACAAACGATCATGCTTCACGACAGATTGGTTACCAATTTCAATTATGTAGCTATTAGAGTAGCTATAGCGGATAATCTAACAAAATTCGTGTATATTCCAGAAGAATCTATAAGCTTCCTCAGTGCTATAGTAGATGACTCTGACATATTTACACTCTACATAGTAAATATGTTCTAGACAACACAAGTAACTGTTCATCAGATAATTGTGTTTCAGTTTCTAAATTGCTAGTTTAGTAGTATTGTTAACAATTTCGACCTTAATGATTTATATTATTTAAGAATTTGACTGAATTAGTTACATTGCAAATAATATTAATCTTGCTTATGTAAAATAAGTGCCCTAAACTAATGTAACTTAAACTCAGTAAAAAATTAAGGGAGAAGAAAAATTTTCAAAATTTTTAGTGATTTGAAAGACAGTAACGTTAATACCGAATCCATCTTTCGCTCGCTGTATAATCATTAGTTTATGATATATCGATGAAAAAAGGTGATTTGTCACTCAATTGTCGATATCTCGATGATAAAAAATCGTACAGAAAATTAAAAAAAACAAACAGACAGTTCAGCTTCCTGAGGAATCAGGCTAAATGACTGTGGCATTGATTAAGCATGAAAAAAATTTTCTGAGCCCATGGGTAGTTTTGAAAAAAAAATTGTAAAATTTTTGCCTTGCATTATTTCTTTTCATTGCGCCGAGAGTGCTGCTCAAAAAAATGTTTCATCTCAAGATTTCAAAACTAGAATCATCAAGATTCAAGACGCTTTTTTTCTCGCTATGACTAATACTCACGAAGGAAATTTTTCTGCTCCCTTAATTTTTTTGCTGATTTTATTTACTTACAGTCTCATAAAATTATTTAAAAAAATTTGTATTTTTTTTAAATTTGATTCTGATGGCAAAAAATATGTTCCGACTTTATGATGTCTATTTTTCACTACATTTACGACTTATACTAATTAAAAATTCTGTTTTGTTCTTCTAGCATATATTGATAGAAGTAAAGAAAATGTAGAAAATATTTTTAGTAGATCAAATAATAATATAATTTATGCATTTATACAGGGTGTTTCAGTTCGAGTGAATCAAACTTTAACCACAAATAGAACTCGGAAAATAATTCAGAATTGCCTTATAAAGCAAGTGTCTTAAGGACGGGATTTTGTACAAAAAATATCGCCCAGCGTGAGTCACGAAACGGGACCCCGGCAGGTGCTGCTCTAGCGGCCAACGCTTCAAGGTGTGTTTTTTAACCGAACGACGAAGTCTAATAATAAACGCTGGACGTAAACGGCTCGATTTTTCAGGAGCGGCTCCAATTTGTGTACATACAATCTTATAAGGAAAGAGAGTAAAGATTTTATTAATCATTAATAGATTATCGAGGACAATAATATTTTTTTTATTAAGTAGGCAATAATTTTTAGTTAATAAGGTTAAACAATCTTATAATTACCATTCCTTTATTATAAAAGCAGATATAATTTTTAAAATTACATGTAGTTTCTTCTTCAAAAGCTTAAAAAACGTATAACAGGAACAGTCAACAGTCTAATGTTTATATTTTCACGTTAACGATCCGATACGTAAATTAACTGCTATTTTCAGTAAAAATGATATAACTTGAATTATTTTTTTACTTTGGTGAGNAAGCAATTATAGGTATCCTTGTTCATTCAACGGTCCGTTTGTTTCAAACAGATATAATTCCTTTAAAAAATTACACCTACATATTAATTTTAAATCAGCTGTGTGCGTCCACTACAGTATCCGTACACAATGATTGCCATGAATAAATAACTAAGCAATAATAGACTTATTTGTCATCAGGAACTGTCATTTTATTCTTAATATTTTAAATATTAGTTAGTGTTTGTAAAAAAATGGATGAATACTCAAGATTTTCTTATCATTTAACTGAGATTTTCGATAAAACGATGCACTCTACCGATTTTTCAACAAGTATACCTTTTTTATGTAGAATTCTAAATCTAAAAATGAATTCCAAATTATTATTAGGTCATTGACGTAGAAGTTGGGGCAAAAAAATCACTTTTTCTTTAGTACCCATTCCTACGCCACTGATCTACAAAAATTTGTAAATTTTACAGTAAATTATGCACATGTGCAAATGTTTTTCGCAAATAATATGAAAACGGTGAGATTTCCCTTGCTTTATAAGGCAATTTTGAATTATTTTTATTGAATTCTATTTGTGGTTAAAGCTTCATTCACTCGAACTGAAGCACCCTGTATAAATTTATACAATTATTAAAAATTTATTTTCGAGTATGTGTTCTGTTTTTTCAAATTTTCAATTTTTTTGTTTGCAACTTGATATAAAATAAGAGAAGGAAAAAACGGAAATATAAATTTATTTAATTTTAGTTGTATTATCATTATCAATAAAAATATTATATAAGGTACCTAGAAATGTTAGTTTTAAAATAATTATAATTATCTTATTTTATGACGCCTACATCGAAATGTTGTAGTAGGTAAAGCATAGACTTTGCATACCTACAGTAACAAACAATAAGTGATATTATTATTACAATTTTTTTTATGATTCCATGTTTTATTATATGCGCATGAACTTGTAATAATATGTAAAATACTATCCGTAGATAACAAGTTAATACCTTGGTACTTTTATTATTTAAATATTAAAGAAACAAGAATATATTGTTGAAATATAAGAAGTATTGTCTATGTAACGTTTAGGTGTTTAGGTTAGATGTGAACAATCAAAACAACATAGATACATACATTTAATACCTCTGTATATATAAATGTTGTTAAAAGATAATGCTTAATATACGATGAACAGTTATTCAATCCCAAAATAGAAGGCACGTCTGGAGGCACACTAGAACCATCTAGAGGTTTCTTTGGAACTATAAAAGCGTCGCGGCATATCAGATTCAACACAGTATATTACACGAACAGCAAAATGCGAGAGTGCGAGCAAAACGATTTTTTCTGAAAAAAAACCGAAACAAATTTCAAATCAAACAATAATCAAGTATTTGTTAACAAATTAGTGCCAAATGTCTCTGTTACCGTTTTTCGACGATTCTTATATCTTCTGCCCTTCGAGACTATTGAATCAACAATTTGGACTGGCATTAGAACCAGAAGATGTATTCCGTACAGCATTTAACCCCAGGATATCAGTCAGGTGTCCAGCTGGATACATCAGAAACTGGATAGATGAAGTCGGCGATGTGGGATCCACAGTAAATTTCGACAAGAACAAATTTCAAGCTAACGTCGATATCCAACAATTTAAACCAGAGGAAATATCTGTGAAGATCACTGGAGATAACACGGTTACGATTGAAGGCAAACACGAAGAGAAGCAAGACGAACATGGATATATTTCAAGGCATTTTGTGAGGAGGTACGTTCTTCCACAGAATTGCGATATTAATCAGGTACAATCTAAATTGTCATCTGATGGGGTTCTTACCATCACTGCCCCTAAGGTAGATGAAGACAAGTCCATCCAACAACGAGAGATTCCCATTATTCGGACTGGGGAACCATTAAAGAGGGTGGAACAGAAAAAAAGACGAATAAAAAATGAACCTTAATTTTATGATGAAATTTGTTAGGGATGTGATAGTTTAAGACTGAATTCTGTTATGCTTTTGTAATTTAATCTTAATTGTTAAAGCGGGTTGTTAATAAATAATATTCAAATAGAAACTACCTAGTGTTTTATTGTTAAACTAACTTAAATTTTTCGATCCTCTCTTATTAGTGGGCCTTATTTATGTAATATAGTTAGACAACCAGTCAAATATAGGAAAATACTAGACGCCAACTCTCTTAAATAAAAACAAAATATTTGTCTCTTTATTTATAGTATATGATCCCACCATAAAACGGCCTTCACCGAGCTGGTTAATGGATGAAAAGTATTTTATATTCAATTAAATATGTCAATAAATATATTACAAATGGGTTGTCTAAAAAATTTCAGTTCAGAATATGATTAATTAACAATTAAAACATTTCTTTTTTAAACATTTCACTGGTTTATTTTATTTTATATGCAAACGTTAGGTTGACAATTTTTTTCCGTCACAACTTTTGGGTAGGTAGGTATAAACAGGTAATGTTGTAGACCAAGAGGCTACTATATCAAATGAACGTAACGCGCGCGCCAATATCCTTGGCAGGAAAAATGAGTTCGGATGGTGCGGGGTCGAGCGGGATTATCGCTCTTTACCCACTTCATCGCTGTAGGCCCGGACGCCTCGTAGAGGTAGGCCCTTTCCCCGTCATTCCGGACCGCCAACGCGGCCGGATTGGATCGGTTCGTGGGGCCTCCTCCTGTCCTGGCTGGGCCCCGCCGGCTAGGGCCCTTTCTTCTGGCGCTCTTCTTTCTTCGCCGGCTCGTCTGTGTATACCCCCGGGGGTGTCGTGTATCGGTCGCAA